ATGCCACACAGCCAGCCACTGACAGGGCGTGGACCTTGCCCAGGTCATCTGATGGCATACTCCATGTACTAACACCAGGTGTCCTGGCACTAGGAAAGGCACGCTTGCAGATCTGTTGTGCAACAGAAAAAAAAATAGTGACCTTTAGGGCTGGGGATTTAGCTCAGTGGTGCCCCTGCCTGCCCTCCAAGCACAAGGTCCTCGATCCCCGGTACCAAAAAAAAAAAGAGAAAGAAAGAAAAGAAATAGTGAGCTTTCACACCAAGAGAATTTTCCCACATATAACAAGTGAGACTTAGGCAGGCATGGTGGCCCAAACCTGTAATCTCAGCAGTCCAGTCCAGGAGGCTGAGGCAGGAGGACAGCCAAATTCAAGCCTAGGCTAGGCAACTTAGTAAGACCCCATTTTAAAATTAAAAGGGTTGGGAGTGTAGCTAAGAGGGAAGACCCTGTTTAATCCCCTGTACCCCCCAAAAAATCATTAGGGAAAGATATAGTCTGGTTTTAGAGCATTTGACTATCATGTATGAAGCCCTAGGTTTGATCTCCAACACCACTACCCAAAAAAGCGTTCTTTGTGAAATTATGCCTTATTTTTTAATGTCATATTGTCCTTTGTGTTGTAGGGTGATGAGTTGAAAACAATAGTCATTTTTTCTCAGTGTCCTAATTAAAAAGCAAAAAGTTGGCAAGTTAGTTTTAAAGTTAAGTCTTTGTTTTCAGTCCCAGAATTTCTAAATCTAAAATTCACCACTGGCCACAGAATATCTTCCCCTCCGTGAGACACATGTTCCCTTTCTGTGAAGTTTCCTTTACTACTCAATGTGAACTTGAACTTTCAAGTTTTTCGCTGCCTGATTTTTAAGAGTTACCAACTCACTTCCCCAAAGTTGGACCTGTTTCTCTCTAATGCACTTGTATTTACAGGAGGAGGCTAAGTGAATAGATAGTATAATGGCTTTCTTCTACTGTGGTTTCCACAAGAGTAAAAAGGCCAGCCTTTTCTTATCATAACGTGGTGGAAACTTTTCTCACTGAAGATGTCAAGTCATAACAATGTGGGGGGGACCCTATTTTGCTCTCAGAACTGCACAGTTCTATGAGAAAGACATTCTTCAAAGCTGTTTGCAATATCCTACATTAGTTTACACTGGTGTTGCCTCACAAAGGAGCCTTATAAATGGATTACATGTGGTTGGATAGAGAAGTACAGTAAGACCTCTGTCCCACGCTTTTGAGGGTGCACGGCATAAACAGGGGCTTGCTTCATAAGGGTTCCTTGCAAATAGCTGACTTGAAGTTTTGTGGCTAGTAATAACCTCCTCTAAAATCAACCACTTATACCATCTGCTTGACAGCGCCCTATCCATTATACCAGGAATGTGTGGGTTTCCACCCTGGCAAATGTCTTCCAAGTTGACAGGAGGATAAACAGAAGGAGGAGGCTGGGGCTGGGCAGCATTGGCCCTTTCTGTGCTGTCATTGCGGTCATTGTTTGGTCTCTGCTCACGCTCAGCCTCTTCAGCAGGAAAAGGTCCGGAAGGAGAAAGAGAAGAATCATGTCCGAATTCCCGAGATCAAATGCAGCAAGTTGAGGTGGCAGAGGAGTTTGGAAACTGGGCACAGAGGTTAGGACAAGCAAGTGGAGAAGCTAAACTGAGCCCTCAGAGCGCTAGAGGCTGATGAGGGTATGTAGTGCTTGGAATTTTGATGAGCCAAATGAGACATGGATGCAAGAATGGGACGGGGATCTGAATTTTTTTTTTCATATCTGGAAAATATGTTTAGCAATCACTACTTGGACCTGAGGCCAATATGGGAATTTAATCTTTCCCTCAAAATGCAGACTGAGGCAGGCACCTAAGGGTGAGAGAGACTTGCAGAGAAATGCAGCGGCTCCCCCTTGGTTGTGATTTTGCTTCCCATGGTTTCAATTACCTATAGTCCACTGTGGTCCAGAAACATTGCCACGGCACAATGAAAAATTAAGATATTTGATACTTGTCCTCCAATGGCGGGCTCACCAGGATGTTTTAGAACTTCTGGGGTTTCTCTATTGTGTTGGAGATATTTATTTTGGTGGCTGGGCCCTAATCTTTTTCAAATGGTAAAATAGTCTTCTACTTCATAAGTTTAAGAACTGCGACGATGGGAAAGCACAAAGGAAAAAAACTACAGTCCTAATCGATAGCTGCCCTCAAACTTACCACATTTCCCTTCTTTCGTTCTATGTTCCCCTGGCCCTAGCCTTTCTGATCTTTTCCCATAATTTACTCAAGCGTAGTCTCCCTGGAATCTGTGGTGAATATACCTCCCTCTAAAGCCTAGAAATTAACTAGTCTTGAAAATTTCTCAAGGCAAATTCTTCCAACGCCACCGATCATCGGATGAATTCCTATTAGGGGCATCGACGACCGGCCGTGGAGAACATGAAATCTGCAAGCCTTATGCATCTGGCTGCCTACGGCTCCAAGTTATGGCTGGTGCGCAGATGCCGCCCCAAGGCCTCATGCACTGGGAGGGTTATGGAGACCCACAGATGGCTTGGTCTTAGGAGGTGGGGTCAGTGCAAAGAGGCAGTCCCTGGAGCTCTGACTTGGAAGGGTCTGTCTGCCTCCCTGGCTTCCAGCGTTCCTCTCTCGCTGCTTCCTGGCTATCGTGCCACAAGCAGCTTCTCCCAGGCGATCCCCTTCTGCCATGCAGGCCTGCCTTGGAGCCAAGCAACTATGAACTGAAACATGAGCCAAAATAAACCTCTCGTCCTTTGGCTCGTCCAGCAGGACAGCCTGCACTGTCCTACCAGGCGCCTAGACGGAGAGATGGGAAGATAGAGGGAGAAAGGAAGGATAAACGTGGGGACACACACCAGAGAGAACAACGGAGCATGACCAAGGTTGGAGCCAGGCCTTTTATAATCGG